AAACGCGTCTCGCGATGCTTGATCTCTTTCCCCTGGGGTACCGTCGCCTCCGAGGGGACCTAATTCTTACGTACGCCCTGTTTGAACAAAGCTTGGCAAACATGTTTTTTACCGTTGACCCAGCAAACACCCGGTGGGGGCACAGTAAGAAAATTTTCAAGCTCAGAGCATTAGACAAAATTTTTTCTCATTTCCGGTAGTAGCTGCGTGGAATGACCTTCCTCCGACGGTTGTCCACGCTCCTTCTAGAACACAATTTAAAGCACTGTTAGACATTTATTTATGCAAATCTCCGTGATGGCAAGCATACTGTCCTGCGCGGAGAACACAAAGAGCAATGCTACACCATTTTTTCACTTGTGCCTTTCAGGTGAACGACAGCCACTGACCGACGAGAACAAAACCGACCCGGGAAACTTGGGCAAAACCATCGATCCTGTGTATTAATTCGTGAATCCGTGAGAACCAAACAGCCAATCACGTCGCAGTTCCCATTTCGTGCCGGTTGCTAATGCGGCGTCCAGAAGGCACTCGGATTTCCAATTTGTTGTTCCTGTGTATAGTTTAAATAGGACGTGATCTACGTGGGTTTTTGGCTGACGGCTAGACGCACACCCAAAATTTCCCTTAAACCGTGGTTCGAAGGAGGAAAACTTTAACATAAAGTTACAACATTTGATGGTAATTTTTCAGGCGTATGAGATCTTCCCAAACGACCGCAGTTTTGTTGATTGTTGTTTAAAACTACTCAATCCCCACGATATTCAAGGCCCGCGATATTCGTATTTTAATACCTGCTATGACTGAGCACGTGAATGCGGAGGATGATTTTGTGAAGAATTTAGCTCGTTAAAGTTTTTTCTCAATCGTTGAACTTCAAGTCGCTTTGAAAGTGTACCAGGCGAAACATTTTGTTGTTTTCGTCTGCATGAACGCCAAAAGGAGCAACAATTCACTACTTTTGTATGAAAAAGCCTTCTACCGTTGCAGCAGACATCCCTGCAGACGAAGCCGAATCCGCGGAACTCGTCGCACCTAGTAAGTTCATGGATAATTGTGTGTACGCGGTAGCACACTTACTGATTGTCCGGCAAGGCTCCACGTTCTCCGGTAACGTGACTGCTTGAGGGTTACTTCCTACTACCTGGAGCACAACCATCCACGCAGCAAGTTTTTGACAGGCTCCTCGTCAACCGGCGACTGACAAATGATGAATTAAAGGAGTGTTCTACCCTTTTGAAATACGGTGCTCCGTTTTCGGAGATTCGGCAGTACGTCGCCGACCACTTTGGAAAGGTACTCACTATCAAGGATGTGCGTAACTATCGCGTCAAATGTCGACCCCCACTGTTAAGTAGGCCGTTGATTACCTTCTAGTCGGTTCCTTAGACGACATGTCGTCCATCATAGCCAAGTTTCGAGTGTGCGGTCTCGTGCTGCTGTTGGAATCAGAGGGTGGCAGATACCCAGTAAACACGTCACCGTGGCATCACCGATGGCAAGTGGAGGGTCACCTGTGCTTTTCTCGAACGTAGCAGATGGCACTCTTTAGACGTTTTCCGGACGTTGTAAACGTTGATGCTACACACGGTACTAACAGTCTTGGGTAAATAATTTTAGAGCCCCTGATGTTCGCTGTTAAGGTACAAGCTTTACACATTCCCGATGACGGATGGCATGGGTGTCGGTCGACCCGTAATGTATACCTTTGTCGAAAGCGACCATTTTGCGTCACTGCGCAAGTTGGGATGCTGCTGGGTGGACGCTATGAAGTTAAAACGTTCGTCATGGACAAGATGACTTCGCAGATGCGGGCTGCCGAAGCTGTATTAGGCCGCGAGATAATGCTGTGCAATTTCCACGCAGGGCAAGCCATCCGGAAACACGTAAGTTTTATTGCTTTGGTGTAACTTCTGCAGACAATTTCCAACCGCAGTCGGCACATATTTCACCGCATGATTCGCTTTGATAATGCAGCGGAGTAAGTAACTATGCACCAAACAATCGCGTAGATTTCGGTACGATTTACAAATCCTGAGGAGAACAGATCCCAGTTTTGTCTCTTGTTTGACTGCCCCCTGGCTCCACATCACTCATCATGCACAACGTGGTTTGGTACATTTAGGGAATGTGACCAACAACCGCCTAGAGAACACGAACGGGCGTTTGAAGAGGTGCGTGCCTTACTCAGATGGCCTGGAGCATGCCGTCCAGAAGGTCGCTCATCACAGCGAATGGATAATGCGCGAATATGAAGTGCACACCACTTATTATTGTGACCGCCGAGAAATTCGGGGAGTGAAACTCGAATGCCTCAAATGCCGAATCAATGAAGCCATGGCAATCCGCAACGACCACACATTTATCCGTGATCCCACTAAAGGGAATTATGAACCACTAGGTAAGCAAACGAATAAAATTACATTACATCCAAACGCTTTAATGCTGTTCCCGAAGATTAATTGCTTGCCCGTTTTTCGTTTCAGAATTCTTGTCCCGTGAAGTGGATCTTAAGAAAATGAAAAACGGAGCGACTACCAATTAAGCTTATAGCAGTGATGCCAATGAATAAAATGCAATTTGCCAATGGTGTTTTCGTAAATTAATGGCGGGCGCATTATCAACGCGTGGAGTTATGCGTATGGAGCGCCGTTGTTGGCCATTGTATTACGTTGCCGTGCATAGGTGAGGCCTCATAATCTGCACCGCGAATAGCAGTTACGCTAAGTAGTCGAGATGAGCGATAGCGCATTGTTTCGGGTAATGGAGGGAGTGGTCGAGGGGGTACAATCAAGAGTAGGAGTTGGGAGTGAGCTGTCAAATTGGGTAGTGATTGCAGTTTGACAGGTGATGACAACCATTGATCGTTGGGTCAGTCTATTATGTGTTGCCGGGGCATTATGGTAGGCTACGAGTATGTGCAGTTACCATAGGTAGCCACCGTAGGTTACGTCGACTACAGTTGTGATGTTTACTGAAGGTAGCAAACATAAACGGTATCGAGTAAGTATGAGTATGGCGATAAATAGCTAGGTTAGGTGACTTCGAGTACAGTTGTGAGTATAACAGGGTGTCAGATGTGGCTATCACTCATAGCTGAGGCCTTATTTTTACCGGTCGGCACATATATTGCACCGATGTTTACTGTAGCTAGCGAGGACAAGCGGTATCGCGTATAGTTAGGGGTATAAAAGACCGTTACTGGTCACAGCTGCAGTCTCATTATCAACGTTGCACATAAACGCGGGCCTAGCAGTTACAACAGGTATTCGAGGTGAGTGAAAACTAGTAGAGATACGAGTACAAGGGGCCGTCGTCGCTCATTGGATTGGGCTGCCGCACATATGTGGGGAACCGTAATTAGCGTCGCACATAGACACGGATCCAGCAGCTACAATAGGCAGTCGAAAGGAGAAACAACGGCTACCGTCATCGTGGTGAGCGCTTTATGGTGATAACCACCTATAGAACGTCATAGTTGTAATAGGAAGGACGCTCACAGCTATCACGTTACACTGTATTATCTACAAGGTAGTTATGTATATCTGGGAAAGGGGATCATCCACAGATGTCCCTCGCACTACCACTGCAAGTTTGTGCTGTTATCTAACTTTATTAAACTTAATGGAACATGAAAGCCATGGGGAAAGTGTGTTGTGAGCAGGTTCACCAAACAAAAATACCCCATTTGTTAAATCTGAGGTGTCTAAAGCAAACAAACGCCTGCGACTGATCCTATAGGGTGGCATTTGCATTAAGATGTTATTTTATTCTTCAGGAACACCGAAGAACGCCAAAACATGTTAAAGTGCGATTTCGTGTTTTATGTCGCCTCACCCGACAAAAAATGTAAATCGGCGATGATCAATGACCTTGACATTTCGCTCACTTAAACAAATTGCTACGTGCAACATGTCACGGGAAGGTGCAAATTGACTAGACTAACTCCCCATTAAAATAGCAACTTCGAAAGCCCTATAGTTTCGGCGAACTCAATTTGGGTGTGAATTGCCTGCGGCGGGTTTTTGAGCCGGTTTTGGTGTTAGTGTACCGTGTCCGTCGGTGGTTCTTCTGCGTAAAATACTACTTTGGGAGTATCAGACCGATGAACGAATGAAGCCAGTGCAGTATTACGGAAGGAATAACTGGCCCACGACAGTTGAGCTGATCGCATTTAGTATGTTACGCTGGACTGGCCGCGCGCTTCGCATGATAACCGACTGACTCTCTGGGAGAACCGAGTTCGTGAAACCATTGGGCGGAGGGAGTGAAAACGAGCCAGAGGTGACCAAGCAATGGTCTGTCAGCTAAGCAACGTCGGTTATTACCTCCTGGTTGATTGAAAACTCCGAGGTGATGCACAGTAGCTTGGAGAGAACGGCAGGGATCACCCGATCGAGATGTCGTAAATGCATAGCCCCCGTCTGACCCTAATGAAAAGTCCACTGCCACTTGAATTACAGGATCCTGCATCCGCCAGTAAGCGATACTAGCTACTGCCTCCAGTACGTAGCTGTCCAGTCCCACTTTTCAGGACCATCGGTGGACAGGAATGTGGCGGTTGTAACCACTAAAATCGTTTCCACTATTTAAAGCCGATGAGTTTGACGAGCTCCATCCCACGTTCACACCGTACAGGTTACACTGTTTCGGCCATGTGATTCGCTCAGCCCTCAGAATTGTATTCGCCCAACCATTTGCTAGGTAGGAGCCACCCGATGTCAGCGAGTTTTTAATCTGGCAACGAAGTGTGAAATGCATATGTTCGGTTGTAAGAACTGCCTACATGTCGCGCACGATGAACGCGTAACAGGCAGATTGGGAAGGTGCTCCTCCGGACTTCTGTCCATATTGAGGCGTGATGTCGAACAGTATCTCTAACCGTTGATGTGTCCTATCCTGGGCTGCCCACCAACGGAGACGTCAATAACGAGCGCGGCTAAGGTTGCTGATAATCGTTTGCACATCCCTATCCGAAAAGAGCTTTCAGGTGGGGTTGGTTGGCTGACATATGGAGCATTTAGCCAAGCGAATGCAACCGTAAAAAATGGTTCAGCTGTAACATCCCTCAGGTGCCTAGCTGCCATGCAACCCGAAGGAAGCACGAGGGCTGGGATACTGCCAGGTTGCCCAAGCCTAGATAGGGAGGTCGAGAGGCAGAGCTCGGGTTCGAATCACGGACCTTCCGGTCGGTAAATTTGCACTCTAACCACTTGAGGCTACTTGCCCCAGCGAATGGAACAAACGGAGAGTTAATCTATCATGGGTTAGTTATTCTTACAGAAAATCTTTCGACGTACTTCAGAATTACTGATCCGGTGTTCCCATTAGGCTTAGACCATACTTCAGGAACATTTTAATTGAAACGCCGAAGTTTTTTAAATCCTCAGCGCGCGGCGACCAGGTTTTTAACCCATATAAGACTAAGGAGCGCACAATAGGATGGTAAGCTGGATGCTTGATGGATAAACTGATGTCAGGTCTGCGTCACATACAATAAAGGTTCACAGAAGCTACTCCGGTCTTCCAGATCTGGATGGAAATATCATTTTTGGCTAGGCCACCAGTTCCGATATAGCTGCCGGGTAGAGGAATTCGTCCACTACCCCATCGGCTTATCCGCAAGTGTGGGGTCCGGGTTCGAGCTCACCCAGTCTTACAGTCACACTTCACATTTCAGGTTTGAAACGCATACCGAACCGCGAGGCAGAATAATTTGGGTTTTTTTTACTATCACCCGTATTGTGCTAGCATCAGACCCAAAAGTAGTTATGTCTGAGTTCGCGATATCAGTGATCGAAAAGCAGCCTTGCCCGACAACACTTGATGTGGTAGGCTCCTTCCGCTGGCAGGGCAGCTGGGTTCCGAAAAAGCGCTACAACTGAACGATGTTTTTATGGTAGTTCTCCGAAGACGGTGAATTGGTGTGCTGCTTGCGAGCTTGTGAGGGTCCGAAGGAAAGCGAATTGTCATGTGCTCGCACAATGGCGCGATCGAAATTAAGTTGTGTATCCCATAAGGAACATTGGTCTTGAAGTGTGACCACCGCTGACCGATAGGCACGTGATCTTATCGGGTCAGCGGTTGACTTTCAGTCAGTTACACTGCGTTTATTTTGAAAATTTATGCTGGCCAAGAACAGTTGGTGGTCAGCGCACAACCGGGGGGGGGGGGTCGCCCTCTGTTGTCTATACGGCAAACACTAGCTCTGGAGTGACCGTCCAGATATGATTCCAAGGAGTTCAGACGACCTACTTGGACATTCATATCGTCTGCAAGAAAGATACTGACAGTTTTTCTTGGTTGAATAACGGGCCCGGATAAATATCAACAGCAAGTGTCCTCGGTGTCCGAACCGCAGTCCGTCGAGGCACATGCCGACACTGCAAACAGGCACCGTTTTTCATGTTGAACTTAATCGAACTGGATAACCGAACGATGCAAAGAGGACCGTTCAGCTGAATTTAGTCCGTTCAGCTCTGGAACTCAGTGCAACGCCTACTCCACAAATGACTTTTCAGAATGGTGTGGATTACAAATAAATGGGAGCTAACCGAAGTAGACGCTGTTTGCGCTATCAGTTTCTTTTCAGGTTGTCTGACTGACCGCCTGTTGAATTTAATGTTTTGAGTAAATTTTGTGGTTGTACGGGGAAGAAGCATCAGTGTCAAAAGTGATGGTGGGTTTTAGGCCCGACCTTTTCTAACCCGTCCTCCCTCAAATATAGACAGCGTTGCTACTCTCATGATTATGGACATGCTGGTCATCTGGAGAAAACAATTTACTACCTTCCCACTCATCACAAATAGCAGTACGACTTTACCGTCGTAATACGACTACTTGTAGCACGGTGCCTCGATACTCTTGGTCTAACCGCTTCCCTTCGGTCTTCCTAGCATAGTTGTGGAACGTAGTACCAGCCCGTGGGATCATTACCGCGTCAAAGTCCGATATCCACTCCAGAGTTGCAGCTGGAGATCGAGACAAGGTCTGAAAGCCACAACTAGTAAGCCCAGTCGGTTAGGTCTGTCGCCTTTCTTAGTGGAGGCCACGGTACTGAACACACCAGTGTTTGGTGCCACTGACAAACGGTTTAATCAACCAGCCCTTGGCGCTCCTGTGCCGAAGCGGTTATCGTGGGTACAGTGTTTATGGGTGAAAAACTAATCTGTGCTGTGTTCTTTGACCGGTCGGGAGGTGGGGGATTTACTTTTGGGTTATTCTCATGTTTTTATGGGACTACTGAATATGGGGTAGAATATCCTAGGAGTTCAGCTTAGTCTCTGGTCACTGACGAATCGGGAGGAATGGGTCGAAAGGCGAGTATCAGTGTCCAAGGTAAAACAAGTGTCCCATTGCTCATATATCACGAGCCATTGCCTATCTTACTTTTACTTCCTAACCTACCTTGTTACAAAATATTCGTTTAGCGCAAAGATGTTTTCAGGTGAACCGTACCGGATTGACGTTCGTTGCGTGCTTTGTGTGATACAGATTCCGTTGTGCTACTGGATTAGCACAATATCTTTGTTAGTTAATTTCTTAGCTACACGAGAAGTGCCTTGTCATCCTCGGAGTAAAGTACCCAGGTATCTTCTTCAATTTCGCCTAAGAATGTACTTCTGATCTTATTACCGTTCAGCTGTAGCACCCTTTCGGTGCCTAGCTGCCATGCCACCCGAAGGAAGCAAGAGGGTTGGGATACTGCCAGGTTGCCCAAGCCTAGATAAGGGAAGTCGAAACGCAGAGGTCTGATTCGAAACACGGATCTTCCGGTCAGTAACTTCGCGCTCTAAACACTGAGTCATCTTATTGCTACCTGTTCAGCAAAAGTTTCCGCTTTAGTCTTCATGTGTCCTTAACCGGGCATGTGTATGCCTTAACATCACGTGAAACCCTACATTATGCGTACCGTTTCTGTAGGATTTTCGACCGTTACTTTGTGTGCTCGAGTATTTGGTGCTTGCCCGTTTTCCTTATCCGATAGCTCGATCAGTGCTGCTACACAACCGATTTGAAAACGATCTTATTGGTTATCTGCACGTCGTTTACCAATGACTTCTTTTCTTCGGCGGAATCCAAATCCCAGTAGGCTACATCTAAAGCCGCAGGTTAGTTGTAATAAATTCAATTTTAGGTCTCTTCAGGCAATTCATATCAACAAGGCGATTACAGACAAGGATGTGCCACCAAAAGTGAAGCATGTTAGAGCCATCATCTTAGCAACTTTTGAAGAACATTCCTCCAAATTTTTCTACACTTTGACCTCAGATCGTCCACTTTCTTCCAGTCCAGTTTTATGCTGGAAGTTCCTGTACATAGTTTATAAACTCCTCCGCTCCGGACATTCTGAAGTAAGTTTCATTGACGGGATTGATGTATCATCGTTTTAATCGCTCTCTAGTGCATCGGGGATGGAATTCGAAATGCCTCAAAGCTTTGGCAGCTTCAAGCTTCATGGGTAAATATAAGATTTTTATGTCTTTATCAACCGCCGGTTTAGCAAGCTCAACGAATCAGCCATAGCTACCCACTCGCTCAATTTTTTCGACTTCTAATTGGACGTCTGAAGTTGCATAGAAAAGTCTGTATTACTTTTGGGCACGTTCACCCATTATCACCTCTTGTAGTATTCGATATTACCGGGCAATCTTGAACTTACGGTTCGAGACAAAAGCACAGCACTCCAGGCCATACCAGATCACTTGTGAGTTTTTTTGTAGACTTCATTACAGTATCATCAAGCCCGCTGCAGCGGCAATAAGTACGGTTGCCTGAGCACCATGATTTCATTAATGCATCATGACTTTCCTTCTTTACCATGTTTACCCAATCAGCTTTGGTCACAAGCCAAAGAATGCCGAGGTTATCGAGAGGCTGCAGGCTGAAAATACGAGCCTCGTTTTACGTGACCATGCTAAGCCCTCATAACATATGGAGTTCTCTATCTTGCACTCCTGTATTACCAAGTCGTCTAGCGTATTCTTTTGAGAGCCAAAACATTCCTTTTTGTATAGACAACATCTTTGACGTCCCAAAATTTGCCGTTCTAAAAGTTTGATCAAACAACCTCTTTTTGGTGCCTGTTACAACTCCAACGTCTCCCGGGAAACACACTAATGGTAAGATCGCACGCAAAACATCACAATGCTATTTTCCCTCATGGCTGAGAATGTCAAGCGAATTCGGTCATTACGACCACATACTAATACGAGTGGGTTGCAAATCACTTTTGGGATTTTTCTCATCACACTTCAGAGATCGAGGCCGGTTCCGCCAAAAGTCAAAGGACTCCGCTGCTGCGGGTCCATCTTTCGGAATCGGTTATCGGTAGGATTTTCAGTTTTACCTTTTTAATGAGAGCCTTCCGTGCAACCCGATTTGGTTTAAAATGAATACCATTCGCAAGTTCGTGCGCGTGTCTCTGTAGCTGAGGTTGGAACGTCGGGTGTCGTTGGGTCACGCAATCACTCAGCATTATCCGTAATTTACGTCTACAGTAATATGATGGCACCGTGTCCAATCGATTACTAGAAGTTTGTCAATAACAATCTCATGGAAGACAATTGTTCAGTCGCAATATTCTTTCCCTGTGATTAAAGAAACCAAGATTGTTCTTGGATGGGTGAATGCGCCGAGCTATCCGGATTTACCCCACCACTGCATGCATTCCAGTTCAAAAGCTTCATAACAAAGAAGAATGGAGCATGGCAACACAACGAAATCTACGATGGGGTAATTGGCTCCTCTGTAGTGACCTTATATGTGAGAATTGTGCCTATGGTATGTTTGCAAGTCAACGACTAAGATTCAGACATGGTTTCCATGTTTTTTTTTCGTCTATTTTCCGTCCGACTTTGGTTGTATGTTTCTAAAATCATGCTAAGGAGGAAGTATTTTGTTATATCCTAGATCGTTTTTAGATGACAAGATACTAATCTCCCCATTTCTATTTTCATACGTATATTGACGATCAAGGGAAGAAGGCCCTTCGCTGAGAAGACATTAGCAAATACGAACTAAGCAGTTACAAGCCATTAGACAGGAATGTGACCATCTCATATGAACATAGTCTTTAAAAACTGAACATTGGCACTCGTCCTCTTGAATACTCCTGGATACTCATTGACTGTCACACAATAGCAAACGAACACTGCAAAGCAGTTCCACAATTTCCGTAATAAACTTCACCTCCCATCAGATGCGGGGCGGAGCTTGGACACCAAACCATAGACTACTCGTGTGCTATTTTTACAACGGTAGTTGGTGCGCCTTTGTCTTTTTGCATTTCATAATACCCATAGCGAATTGGAACATGGAAAATCAACCTGTTACGAAAACAGCAGCCGTTGTCAAGCCAGCTCAAGTCGCACGGAGGCCAAATCAACTTGGATTTCAAAAACCGGGGGTTCTGTCCGGAATTCTACCACACTATTTACAAACATCTAGGGAAATACATACGACAGTTACCTAGAAGGAGCGCTGCCCATAAGATTGCTGTAAACTCTTCGACAACTCATGACCGATTTCGTCCCTCTTCGGGTTCAGCAAGTCAGCGTAGTCTCCGAAATATCTGTCAGTTTTGTGTTCTGCTAGAACTGAAATTATGGCGAAAACTAACTTCGTTTTAACGGAAGACTCAATTGGATTCCAGATGGATCATAAACGGGAAATCCTCTGTTAAAACCAAATGAGTTTGCGAAATAGTGCATTTCGCGAACTGCGCACACGATTTCGGTCCAAGCAAAACATAAAGTTAACGGGAATTCCGGGGATTTCACTTACCTGATGAGCTCTTCGAAGGGTGAAACCGGTCGTTGGCTGTCGAAGAGTTTTCAGCAACCTTATGTCCCTTCAGGTAAATATACCGCGACATCTCGAATGTGGTACCAACCTAAACACAACGCGACCTTTTTACGACACATTCAGTGTAAGCATATCATAAACATGAGATCCAGTTGTCTCCCGTTAAGATCAGCCTATTCTGCGGGCGAGTTTATTTATCAGAAAACAACTTTCGATTCGTGCTATGTAAATAGGAAGTTCAAAAATAGGTAAGAATGGTGCAGTGCCGACATCCGCATTGTAGGCGAGTAGAACCGAAGCTGGAAGCGTAAATTTTGGGCCGTCGCATATATGGGACCACTCTGACGGTCCTGAATGCTGTGGTGTGAATACCCTGGTCTATCGTGATTGGGCATATCAGATATCAAAGATTCCCGCTTAGAAAAATGAGGATATTTTGACAAACATGCTTCCAGTAAGTTCTTTTCGATCCGCGCAAATCCGAAAATGCATAAAACAATCCACAAAACAAGGGTGCAATAGATTTTACCTGTCGCCAAATCATGAAGTTGAGGACAGTCTACATTTGTCTCTATTAAGGAGAAGGGCTGAACTTGTTAAATGTTGCTCACTGGAGCCGGTTGTCTTCACTCTCATAAATAACCGTGCGTAGTGTATTCTTTTATTCAATTTATTCAACCGCGCAATAGCAGGCGATCCAGCGGATCAACATGTTTTTTGCACCGAGAGGCTCATTATTACTTCAGGTTGAAGGACGTCAGATGTTTAAACAGGGAATTGTGTTCCAAGGAGTTTCATGCTTTCCGTTCAGTACGTCTATCAATCTTTTAATGGAGGACTCATATATTACTTTAGCTGCAGCAACTGGGACATTAGAAGAGCAGTTGCATTAACACACCGCATGCGCAAGCATGCCATTTTCGGATTGGCCGTCCTCGTCAGAATATGTGTGAAGGCCGTCACGAAGAGACTGGACCTTACCAGTCTCTCATCCAGGTTGGTCAATGGTTAGAGGTCTGACGAACACAGTCTCCTGGCCCTCCAGGTTGGGGGTTGGAACATGTGGCGACTTTTTCCGTAGAAATGGTAATGCATTTGCATTTCCCGCCAAACACCGCTGCCTTGCGGTTAGGCTTTTGAGCCAAAGGCTTTGGTTGAGGACCCTAATCGTCCTCCTGTCTAGGTGTGGGCGCCCTGGCAGTATCCCAGCCCTCGTACAACAATGAC